GTGGCTGGAATGAGAGAAAAATACTCATCCATGCCCAAGGGTGTAGGGAAATTCCACCCTCAGGATTTTCAAATTTGGCAAAACCCCTCGGGTGGTATTTCGTTATCCTACACCACTGTGCATGAAAGAGTCTTATACTATTGCCAAAACACTCACTGGATGATAAATTTTCCTTTCTTCAATTTTCCGTGTATAATGTGAAAGCAGGATGATAAATTGACCAGAACATTAGGATCACTGTTAATTTCTGGTAATTTCTTTAATTTCAGAAGCAGCAGTTAGTGTTACAACAACAGATCCAACAGTTACAGATAGAAAAACAGCAGCTAACTCACCATCTTGAGCAACAGATACAGCAGACCAAGCTCAAACAACTGGAGGACCAGCATCTCAAGCAGCAACAGCAACAAAGTCAGCTTCAGCAGCAACAGCAGCAGTTCCAGGACATTCTACAACAGCACCAACAACACAGCCAATCAGGCTCTGTACCACAATCTCCCCAGGCATGTTTACTAATTCAGGGTTCCCACTGGGTCCCCATGGCAAGGGAATAAATCTCCCATGGATTCCTTGGGAGAGTATGTTTTGAATTTGGGCAAGATACATACTTGAAAGATCATGTCTGTTAATTGTTTCAATAAGCCAATCTCAATAATAATAGTAATAGTTTATAATATATACCTTTATAGTCCAGAGGTCACATAGAAAATGTTTAATTTTGTTCATATGCATGTTAGCATCTGTCTAGGGATTTCTTTTCTAAACTTCATTATTGATAAAGTATGAGAATATTCTCTTTAGAGAATTAAAGCGTGATGTTGCTGCTAATATCATCAGAATTTATTTTGATGACTTCCTTACCTACAATTAACTGCTCGTTCCTAATGTTTTACAAAAAATGAAAGTTCAATTTATTCTTGTCACATTATATTATAATGGCTTCAATGTTGTAGGTGCCACAGTCTCCCCTGCTACAAAGACAGGTGTCTGTGGAATCCCTGGACTACCAGTTCCAGTCCCCTCCCCAGCAGATCCAGGACATCCCCTCTCGCATGTCTGCACAGCATCACCTTCAGCAGCTGGCCCGTCAGCAGCAGCAGGGTCCTCGTGACATTATCCAGCAGATGGACATAGGTCAGCTTGCAGAGCAGCTCAGTATGACCTCTCAACAACAACAGCAGCAGCAACAACAGTGTGTGTTACAGCAACTACACTCTCCGCCCCCTGTCAGTCTCAGCTCCATGTCAATACAGTCAAACCTCCAATCCGCTATTGCTCAAATCCCACAGTTCACACTTCAGACTTCCAATCCTCATCAGGATGTGCTGCCACAAACACAGACATCTTTTGTGTCACCAAGCCATCTCTCTGCTGGTCAGGTTACACTTGTCACAACTGCTGCAGACAATCCCGAACTCTCTGTTGCTCAGTTACTCAATGGCATAGATGGTATACAGGACCCAGTGGGGACTGTGTTCCGCAGCCACACAACAACGTCAGCTGGCCTAGTCGGGGGTATAGCAGGTCTGTCTCCCCTTGGTGGCCAGCCCAACATGTCAACACTTCCCTCCACCATCAAGGAGGAGAACAACCTAGTGGTCACACCCACGCTGGACAACACCTCAATGTCCAACAGCTTCGTGGTGTCACATGCTCCAAGTAGTCTACACAGTGGTGCAGGTGCCACCATAGATCTGGATAGTGCTGCAGAACGGCTCAAACAGGAGATCATGGAACAATTGTCTAATAGGTCATTGCATACAGAATCCAAGGCAGCTGACAGTAATCCGTTTTCATTCCCAACCATAGACTCTTTCAGTGGTAACAACATAGAAGGCAGTTTGCCAGGCAGCATGGGGGGTCATCTCAACCCAGGAGGGCATTTTGAGGGCATCTTAGGACTTCCTGGAGATTCAGTTCAACAACAGCTCAACATAGACAATAGTTTAAATACAAAATCTGAAACCAAATCAATTCAGAATCGACACCAAGAACTTAAACGAAGACTTTCAGTAGGTAGTGAAGTAGAACTTTTGAAGAAGTCTTTTTCTTCAGGTAATCAGCATAATATTGGGTCTAAGGGATCAACACCTATAACATATGTCAAACACACACCGTCCAGTGGCCCTCATGTCAAAACAGACAGTCACGCACGGCCTCGCATGCGGAGTAAATCGGGTGACGACTACAACCTCATGCGGGCCAATAGTGAGGATCACACATTCATGCGACCACGGAGTCGTACAGAGGACTCACTGTGGAGAATGAAATCAAAATCGGAAGAATACTGGGGCAGCCCGTTTTCAAAATCAGATGGTGCCGGACTGTTTAGAAATCCAAATAGTTTATCTAGTCCCATCAAGTTGAAAAGGAAGCATCGGCCAGCTCCACTGTTTATACCTCCTCACATGAATAACTGTGGCTTCCAGAGCAGGCTCAGGTCTCCCCGCATCAACCCTCATATAGAGGGGAGAGGTAATACTCCCCCACCGTACACGCCCCCTCCCATGCTCAGTCCTATTCGCAGTGGATCAGGTCTGTTCTGGAGTATGTACAAGCCAGTCACTCCCAAGTCTGCACCTGTCACCCCCAGGTCACTCCAGCTGGGCATGAGCAGCAGAGGAAGTTTAGGTGAGTTGTACTTTCAAATCATTGCATATCCATCACATAATGTTAAATTGACTTCTATTTTTTGTGTATATGGTACACATTTTGTGATTAAACAGTTCACTTGACTTAGATACCACTAATTTGTTGACAGTGTTGGTCATCAGTTTTGTTTTAATATGTGCTATTTTGTTTGTTTCATGTAAGTCATTTTGACTTGCTAAAAGCAGAACATTTTGTTTACTGTATAGGTCATTTTGATCCAGTGATGAAGATGGAGGAGGAAGATGATGAGGAGGTTCCCATCCCGCAAGAGTCAGAGGAGGCAGCACCTGAAACAGATGTACAACCGTAAGTAGTCCATGTCATATACCACAATCTTTGTC